CATGCCTGTTTATTTCCAAGTTTTCCCTTTGTATAAGATATAGGCATACTGGATTAGGGCCCGCCCTAGTGACCTCATTTTAACTTGCGGAGACCTTATTTCCAAATAAAGGTCACATTCAAGATATTGTAATTAGGGAATTAGGACCGCAACATCTTATAGGGGAGTAAAATTCAACCCCTGACAGAATTATTTGGCAAAATGTTCTTGGTGAGCCCTAGCCGGTTTTGCTCAGTGGATAGAGCATCAGCCTGTGGACTGAAGAGTTCCGAGTTCGATTCTGGTCAAGGGCACAGGACCAGGTTGCGGGCTCAATCCCCAGTAGGGGGCGTGCAGGAGGCAGCCAATCGATTCTCTCTCATCATTGATATTTCTATCTCTTTCTCCTTCTACCTTCCTCTCTGAAATCAATAAAAAACATATTTTAAAAAAATGTTCTTGGTGACTTTGTTAAGATCTGTTTGAATGAGTGGAGGCAGTGAACGCCACATTGGAGTAGGTTAAGGAGAGTAAGTGATGAGAAAACGGAGGCCAGCAGCATGGATAACTCTTGGGAAATGTTGCTGTAGTGGTACAAAAACTTGGAGGGGCAAGTATCTCAAAGGAGGGAGAGTTTTTTATTTTTAAAAGTAGGTGATGTTAACCTGTGTTACTATGAGTGCTCTAGTAGCTTGGGAGATAAAAGTATATATTAGAGGAAAGAAAGAAGGATACGGGAGGCCAGAATTCCATGAATAGACATGAAGGGATAGGATCCAGGAGGCTTCTTTGCTTGTAATAGGATTGGAGGCAGAGTGTGTGGGTCCAGATGCAGGTAGACTAGTGAATTGGGTGATGGAAAGGTGAGGTTATTTGTGTCCAATGGCATTTATTTTCCCAATGAAGCAAGAGGTGTGATCGTAAATTGAGAGTGTGATTACGAGCATGCTGGAAATAGGAATAAAGAAACGTGAAACAGTCTCAGTGTAGGAGCAACAAAGCTGCTATGGATATGGATATCTGTAGGAGTGCCTGGCATTGATGAAATTTGTGATCACAAATATGAAAAGTGTCAGCATAGCTGAGCGCTTTTCTCGGGCACTGGTTAGCTGCAAGAGTGTAGGCTCAGAATGCGTGCATGGTTGGGTTTAAATAAGGCTGGAACTTTGCCAGAAAAGAAGGTGGGAGTAGGAGAATGGTGAGAGAATGAAGGACCTTTGCAAGGGGGTGGTTTTAATGCTGGATCATGGAATTTACGCTCAGTAAGGAGGGAAGTGGTAATGGCAATGGTTTTGAAGTTTTGGGGGTTTATAAGTCACTGAATAGTAATACCAGGGCAGTGAGTTAGAAAGATGGTGGTGTCCAGAGTGTGGAATGCCTGGAAAGAAGATTTTGGAGATGTTACTAACTCTGAAAAAATGAAGTCAAAAGCTATACACCCTTTACCTCAGGTGCAGCAAAATCTTTAAAAATCAACATATTAAAATAATAAATAAATGCATACATAAACCTTTTTAACTGAGGTTTAAATGATCTTCTGCTAAAGTGCCAGTCAGCTTGCCAGGCCAAAGACTTCTTGTCTCACCCGCATGCACACAGCAAGCCGGCATGTTATCTCTGTGTCCAGAGCTGCCCTGCCTCTGCCTCTAGTTGATAGCAGGCTGGACGCGCCTGTTTCACACTTTATTTACCTGTCAAGACTGACAAGGCAGTTGCATATTCTTACAGCCTTTCCAATTCTTTCTGATTGCATTTTTTCCCCTTTAAAAAAAGAAAATTATGTATCCAATGACTAGATGGGGATGGGGAGGACCATTCAAGAAAGTTTTAAAGAAATTATTTTCAGGATTATGTAGTGTGAGTGATAAAGTTGAGAGTGGAATGCGAGATGCTTGGTCATAAGAAAGACGCTATTATTTTAAAGCATTATGAGTCTTCTTAATCAACATTTAATCCCTTATTTTTAGTTTCTTTTTAAATTTTTTATTGATTTTTTTTTTTTTTGAGAGAGAGAGAGAGAGGGAGGGAGAGGAAAGGAGAGAAAAAGAGAGAGGGTTAGAAAGAGAGAAAATGATTTGTTGTCCCACTTATTTATGCATTCATTAATTGGTTTTTGAATGTTTCCTGACCAGGGATCAAACCGGAAACTGTGGTGTATAGGGATATCGGTCACTTATTATGTGCCATTCAACATGCTAGGCCAGTAGTTCCTAAACTTTTTGGTCTTAGAACCCCTTTACACTCTAAAATAATTGGGGGCCCCAAGGAATTTTTATGTGCATTATATCTATTGATAGTTACTGTTTTAGAATTCAAAATGGAGGAATTGAAAAATATTTATTTAAAAAGAATATACCCATTCCATGCTAACATAAATAACATTATTCATGAAAATATTATTTTTCAAAACAAAAAAAGTTTAGCAAGAAGAGCGACAGTTTTACATCCCCTCCCCAAATATCTTTAATATCTGACTTAATAGAAGACAGCTGGAACCTCCTATCTGCTTTTGCGTTCAATCCATTGCCAGATCATAAATCATATATCCCTTGGAACAAGGATGTCAAACTCGCGGCTTTATTTGGCCCATGTTAGCCTTTGAGTTTGACATGCTTGCCCTAGAACGGGTCCTCAAACTACGGCCCACGGGCCACATGCAAATACAAATATTGTATTTGTTCCCATTTTGTTTTTTTACTTCAAAATAAGATGTGCAGTGTGCATAGGAATTTGTTCATAGTTTTTTTTAAACTATAGTCCGGCCCTCCAACAGTCTGAAGGACAGTGAACTGGCCCCCTGTTTAAAAAGTTTGAGGACCCCTGCCCTAGAAGATACATGTCCACTGCACACTCATGAGAATGAGAGTTAAAAGGAAAATAATAGCTTGGTATTATTATGAAAATATTATTGATCTTGAGAACCCTTTGAAAGCGTCTTAAAATGAGATCCCTATACTTACCTGGCAGGGGAGATACCATGATCACAAAGGTGGTTTTCCCAGGGCGAGGCTTATGCATTGCACTCCGGATGTGCTGACCCCTGTGATTTCCCCAAATGTGGGAAACTCGACTGCATAATTTGTGGTAGTGGGGGACTGCGTTCGCGCTCTCCCCTGCAAGAAAAAATTTAAAAAAAAAAATGAGATCCCTAGGGGTGCCCAGACCATACTTTGGGAACCACTGTGCTAGGGTATTGGGACATAGCCTTCAAGGAGCTGAGACAAGCAGGAGAGAAGAACATTGACAGGTACGCAGTATCTAGTGTAGTGAACTGCGTGCTTTAAAAGAGTCTAGTATGGTTCTGACTGGGGAAGTTAGCAAGGATTTCAAGGAGCTGACATTTGAGTTGGACCTTGAAACATAAGTGGGCATAGAACGGGGGAGGGGGGTGATTCTTGGCTGAAACAGAGCAGGGGTAAAGGCATGAAGCAAGTCCAACATTCCTAGAACATTACATGCATGAAGGGAAGTTACTGGAGAGAAGCCTGGAAAAGTGTAGTAGGAGGCATCTGTACAGTCTTTATTCTGTAGGCAGTGGGAACCAGTTATTAGCTGATAAATAACACATTAATTAGTGTTTGTCCCCCTACTCTATCTAGACTGGGCTCTGTAGTAAGAATTTTGTGTTCTCTCCAGCCCACTGAAAGAGCAATTATTCGCTTTCCTTTACAAAGGAAGAAACTGAGGCTTCTGAGTTGTTAATGTGCATATTTGGAGTTCTCTCTTCTATTATTAAGCCGACTCCTAGTACTAACCCATCGTTTTGAAGTTCTGAGGATTGAAAATGAGGTATTTCCAGAGATAATCTATAATAATAAAAGCATAATATGCTAATTCGACTGGATGTCCTTCTAGACATCCTTCCGTCCTTCTGGATGAAGCCGGGGCTGCGAGGGAAGCCCGGGTCCCGGGTGCCAGAGGGAAGCTGGTGCCGGCAGCCAGGGAAGGAAGGCCTTCTCTTGCACGAATTTCGTGCATCTGGCCTCTAGTGTATAATATAATAAGGGGTAATTGAGGACCTCCTAGTTTTCCAGAAAGAAGGAGCTGCTGGCGTCCCAGTGAAGCATGAGGAGATGCTGGCTTCTCCTGGCTTCTGAAAGCTTTCTGCTCTCCCAAGTGATCATAACTGCTACCCTCCCTCTGTAATAGATACTTGACTTTAGGGGTGTTAATTAAAACGTTTTGGTAGGAATAAGGAAATTAACTAAGACCAAACTCACAAAAGAATAAAATTATGACAAAATATTTTTCAGAGGACAATGTTCTCTGCTTTCTCCTTTGGCTGTTGTATCTTTAGTTCTGCGGGCTCCGGATATAAATATGATGAATGCTTGCCTGCTGGGAAGCATTAAAGAGAGAAACAGTTCCGAGGCTATGTTTCTTTCCTCTGTGACTTCAGCTTGCCCAGCTGAAAAGGGAAAGTCTACTAGGGACCTACTTGAGAAAAAAGAATTCACATTTTTTCGTGGGGGATGTATGTAGGTTGGACGCTGAGAAACCTTAAATGTGGATTCCAGGCAAAGCTAACGAATTATTTAGAAACACTAAAATTGAAGGGGCAGGAATGCATGCAAGCGAATGATTCACTTTTCACTGGCAATTTTTCACTCGTGTTATTTACTCTAGGTCTTAACACTGTTCCTGTCTTAACACTGTTCGAGGTGTATTGATACAGCGTTGCCCAACTCTTAATAAACTCAGATCTCAGGTGATGATCTGTTTAGCACTGAACCACACTGAACCCTGATACATGCAACCCGTGCGCACACGTGTGCCTGCATTAGGCCCTTAAAAGGACCCCGGGGAACTCGCGGGTTATTGGGAAACGCTCCCTGTCGCCCGAGGGCGGAGGAGGGGCGGTCTCCTAGGAGACTGGGGAAGCGAGTGCGCACGCGCAGAGCCGGGGCCGGCTGATGCAACCTCCGGCGAGCGGCGCGTCGGGGAGAGTCAGGAAGCCGACAGGGACCGGGCCTGGCCAATCAGCTGCCGCGGGAAGAAGGCGGAAGGGCCCGCCCCCTGGGCTCTGCGAGTGACGTTCCGCGGCGAAGGGTGGGCGTCCCGGCCGCCGTACGTTCCCGCCGGGTGGCCGGGGTTGTCCCGCTCGACGCCGGCCCTGCGGCCATTTTGAGCTCGGTTAGTCCCCGCGCCCGTCTGCTGGGCCGCCCAGCCCTTGCGGGGGGACGCGCTGCGAGGGGTGGGAAGTCGTGCTGCCGCCGCGAGAGGCCTCTGTATGGTGCCTCGAGCGGATTAGGACCCTCCTTCCCGCCGGGATGGGTATCGCCGCCGCCCGCGCCAGCCTCTCCGGACTGCCGTCTGCTGCCCGCGGCCGAGGCCGCCGCCCTCTGTGGCTCTTCTGCTGCCCCGGGGACCGGTCTGGGACGCCGACTCCGCCACGAGGCGAGGTCGGGGCCGTGTAGGCCTCCCCGCCTCGCGTCCGATCCAGCCGCCGGGCCGCACACCTCGCTGAGACCCTGCCGGGAGCAGAGGCCATGGAGCCGGGAACGGACCTGCCGCCCTTCTTCCCCCGGCGCTCGCCACCCGGCGCCGCCGCCGAGCACCCCGGGGACCCCAAGCCGCTGTCCTCGCCCGGGCCCGAGGCTCGGTCCAGCTTCTGGGTGAAGCTGCTCTCCCAGCTCCTGGCGCCGCTCCCCGGCCTGCTGCAGAAGCTGCTGGTGTGGAGCCAGCTCCTCGGCGGCCTGGTTCCGGCCCGGTGGCTCGAGTTCGCCGCGGGCTACAGCGTCCTGAGGGCCCGGGAGGAGCCCGCCGCCCCCGCGGGGCCCAAATCTGTGAGTTCGCTGGGGCTGGACGCCTCGGTCGACCCCGCCGCCGCCGATCTTCTGGACCTGCTGGAGGAGGGGATGCACTGGGAGTGCTCGCCCCCCGACCCGAAAGCCCAGGGCCGGGCCTCGCATCCCGCGCCCCACGCGGCTCTGCTGGAGCAGCAGCTGTGGCGCGTGGAGCTGTTGCAGGGCGGCCTGACCGCCCGGCTGTTATCTGGCCGGGACCTTGGCCTGGCGCCCTGCGGGCCGCAGCACGTTCACCGCGTCAGCAGTTTCAGTGCCGTCTCCTATTTGCTGAGCCCCTCTTATCTGGACTGCCTTTCCCCGCTGGAGCGGAGCTGTCAGAACTTCATCGCCAGTGGCGAGCTCCTGGACTTGCAGCCGGTAACCGGCCCGGAGAGCTGCTGTCCCCCGGAGGACTGTTCTCCCCCGCGGCCGCTGAAGGCAGAGGTCGCCTGCTCCTCCTGGCAGGAATGCCCGCCTCGCTCGAGGGAAGGCCTGCCCGAGATTCACCACGTTCGCATGAAACGGCTGGAATTCCTTCAGCAGCCTAGCAAGGGGCAGGCGTTACCCACGCCTGACCAAGATCATGGCTACCATAGCCTGGAGGAGGAACACAGCCTCCTCCGGATGGACCCGAAGCCCTGCGGAGGCGTTCTTCCTGCCGGAGCCAGTCCTGGAACCGCCCAGGAGCCCACGGGAGAAAGACAAGAGTTGACCGAAGAGGCTCCTCTTGCTGGGGAAAGGCAGGGCCCAGTGGAAAGTCTGTCTGGTGAGGCACCTATGGAAAGAGAGCCCGAGGAGGACCACCTAAGTGTAGCTGACTTCTCAGACATAGACGATGACCTTCCCGTGTCTGCCAGGCCGGCCTGTAGCAACCGGTTGATAGATTACATTTTGGGAGGTGCGGCCAGTGACCTGGAAGCAAGTTCTGACTCAGAAGGTGAGGATTGGGATGAGGACGCTGAGGATGACGGCTTTGACAGTGATGGCTCGCTCTCAGAATCAGACCTTGAGCAAGACTCTGAAGGGCTTCACCTTTGGAACTCTTTCCACAGTGTAGATCCTTATAATCCCCAAAACTTTACAGCTGCGATCCAGACTGCTGCCCGAACTGCTCCTGGAGACCCCTCTGACTCAGACAAGGATCTGTCTGACAAGTCTGATCTGGAGGAGAGTTCTCCCCAGACTGGAAGCCTCCTTCCTGAGTCTCCTGACTGTAATTCTGGGGAGGAAGATGACTGGGAATCTAGTGCAGATGAAGCAGAGAGCCTCAAACTGTGGAACTCTTTCTGTAATTCGGATGACCCCTACAACCTTTTAAATTTTAAGGCTCCTTTTCAAACAGCAGGGAAAAGTTGGAAAGGCTGTCATGACTCAGAGAGGCCATCTGAGCCCATTGTGACCATCTCTGAGTGTCACGCTTTACTTTCCTGTGAGGTGCAACTGTTAGGGAGCCGAGACAGTGAATGTCCAGACTTGGTAAGGGGTGGGGTTCTTTCTGGAGGACACACGCATATCAAGAGAAAAAAGGTTTGTTTGTTTCTTTTAACTTGTGGATGATATGTACAGACTGTTGTGATTTGGTTAAGTACAGCAGCATGACTTTCCTGGAGGGGTATAGTACAGTGCATATGCTTGACAAGTAGAATGTTGTTCCTGTCCAAGTGGGAGATGCCCGTGTACAGATGTTAGCGGGAAAGTGCCATTTTCGTTGGCAACTGGGAGCTATATCCCTATAAGTTTCAACTTTACACTCTTTTTTAAGGAATTGAAAAGTTAAACCGTGTGTATACATGATTTAATTTCCCGAGATTGGGAAGGCCTAGTATAGCCACAGAATTTTCAAATGTTGTTAAATGTGGTATGTCATACTGTGTGTCTTCATTCCTTTCCATTCGAACTTAGAGGAATGATGGGACCAAGGAGCAAGTCAGATTAACCTGTTTTGTTTTGTTTTTGCCATGAAAGGAAATAATTTTAGTATTAAAAATTGTGACATGTACATGACTTTAATTCTGTTTAAAAAAACACAGGAAATAGTGTTGCCTTTAAGAATGCACTACTAGTTGTCATTAGCGCTACAGGTTAATAATTATGTAAAGCAGTGATGGTCACTTATTTGGTTTACCTTAAGTAGTTGTTTCCTATTCCCAGTCTAATTGTAAAACTTTATGGAGCATTTTATCTTTCAGCTAAAGTTATTAATTGGAGAGAAAGCCTCTCCAAACACACAGGGTATCTTTTATTGTAGAGGAAAAGTTTCTTTGGTTACCTGTACCTTTATTTGGACAGAGAAAGGAGTGGATGGATTATTGACCTCACATTCTGCAGCATCTGGGAGTTTCCAGTGGAGAGTACCCTCACCCATTGGCTCTAAATGTCTAGTTTAATACTTTGAAACTATTTTGGGGGTAGAAAATATCGTTAAAATGTGATAATCTTATGTTTTACCTGTAGATGCAAAGTAAGTCACGTTAAAAAATGGAAATTTTAGTTTACACTTAGGTATCATCATAATACAGCTTTTCTCTATCTTTTTTTAAAAAATATATATTTCTTTATTGATTTCAGAGAGGAAGGGAGAAGGAGAGAGAGATAGAAACATTAATGACAAGAGGGAATCATTGATCCGCTGCCTCCTGCACACCCTCCACTGGGGATTGAGCCCACAACCCAGGCATGTGCCCTTAACTGGAATGGAACCTGGGACCCTTCAGTCTGCAGACTGACACTTTATCCACTGAGCCAAGCCAGCTAGGGCTTTTCTCTATCTTTTTAAGGGGCCCCTGACTCAGTGACCTACTTAGTGAATTATGCAAGAAACAGCCAGGCAATGGAATGACCACTTGCCACCTGGAGACCTGTGTTCCCTACTTCTGAGTGGTTAGGGCCAAGAGGTTTGGGAATACAGCCAAACCTGGGAAGTAACTTGACCTCTCATGGCTTTGAATAACTCATTTATCTTATGGGAATAATAATAATACCGTATGAGTTATAGCATGATTCAAACGAGATGAGTAAACAAAACTCGCAATTCATTGTCTTGCCTTTAAATGGTAGCTCTTATTGTTCAGGGATGTCAAGCCAATTGCATGTCTCATTTTAGCCTGCTCATTGAGTAAAAATGGAATGAGTCAAGTAGGTTTGAGACTGTTGACCGAACTAGAAGCAACATTTATCAAAGATTATGCCTAAAATATGGCTAAATTACTTGACAGCCTTTGCCTACTTGCCATTCTTTAGATATATGGGAATAATCGGTAGTGCCCAGTGCTTAAAATGAAGCTCTTACTTGGATCTAGGAGTTTAAAATGCCTAACATGGTACAGATTGTGGAGCCAGACTCACGGTTTTAATCCTATTTTACCACATAGAAGCTGTGTGAGTTGAACAAGTCAGTTAACTTCTGTTTTGTCTGCTTGCTTATCTGTATAATAGTACCCTATAGGGTTGATGTGAGGATTAAACGAGATAAAAATTGCAGAGTGCTTTGAAAAAGAGCCTTGTATATGGTAAACACTATGTAAATGTTGCTATTATTTATCTTAGTGACAGTAAGTGACACTGGAATGCAATATCTGTAAGGGTTTACATACCATACCTACTAATTGTCCTCGGGGGCATCTGTTGGCCTGATGTAAAGGGAATGAAAGTAGTAGGCCGCAGCGGGGTTAGCTGATGAACCTGTTGAGCATACTTTAAAAGCAAGTACCTATTTACTTTTGGGGTTTGATATCGTACAAAGAGACTTACTGGAAATTGCATAGGGATTAATGGGGACTGTGACTCACTACATGTGACCATGTGTATGACAGTATGCACAATTTTATGTATATAGGGTGTCCCAAAAAATGTATACACACTTGGAATGATTATAAAGTCAGTGTTTGTTAACATACAGTTCATTTTCAAAATGTAAAAGAATCTACAGAAATGAATAATTTTTTTTGTCAATGCCTGTTTTCAAACTGATGACCGTTCTGGTCCAGGCACTACTGATAACGCGGCGCGAAGCAATGGAATCGCAAACATCAAGAATCATTTTGTTCGGTATTTGTGTTCCTCAATTCGTCAGCTGTTGATGGTTTGTACCGTAAGCTTTATCTTTTATGTATCCCCAAACAATGTCTAGTGCATAAATTTTCTTTGTTCAGAGCTTAGTCTGGTTTCACCCATTATTTCAAATCAGTTGAACCTGAAAAGGAGTGAAATTAAGTGAGTTAGCAGCTGTTAAAGTGTGTATACATGTTTTTGGGACACCCTGTATATAGTGACAGCATGTTGAAGAGGAATACAAGAAGGATTTTTAACTTAGTTACAAAATCTCTTATAGTATTAGAGGTCCGTGCACTGGTGGAGTCCCTCAGCCTGGCCTGCACCCTCTCATAATCCTGGATCCCTTGGGGGATGTCAGACTGACGGTTTTGGCCGGATCCCTGCAGGCCAAGCCTAGGGACCCCACCAGTGCATGGGTGCGCCCGGCCTCTAGTATGCATGTGAGATATTTGGTTAATCTCTTCCCGTCCTCCTCCCTCCCCCCTTCCCGCTGAGATTCATCAGTCTGTTCCATGTTTCCATGCCTTTGCGTTGAGCGTCTTCCCCCTGGTGGTCAGTGCACGTCATAGCTAACAGTCAACTGGTCGCTTAGGCGTTTATAGATACAGATAACCTTAAAGAGATGTTAGTTTTGTTACACTTTGCTAATTAAGTAAATTCCTGTTCTGTACTCTGATTACAAAAGTAATATTAAGAATAACACCACATGTCCATGATTAAAAAATTGGAAAGCACTGACAAGTAACTTCTTTTAAAAAGGAAGAATAGAAATAAGTAAAGATTTTGTTTAAGCTTTTGTGTTAAAATAATAGCCTTGACTTCCAGGTATACATTTCCGAAAACTTTTGTTTGAAGACATTTATCATTTTCGAAGAAGGGTTTCACAGAACTGAATATCACTAAGGATTTAATAAGTAAAGATTAATAGCACAGGAAAATTGCAATTCCCCATCTGGATTCATTTTATTAACATCAAAAACCACAAGGGGATAGGGTAGATGACAGGGTGCCTATTGGTTTGTTGTTGTTTTTAATATATTTTTATTGATTTCTGTGATGAGAGAGAATCAGCTGCCCCATGCACGCCCCCTACTGGGGATTGAGCCCGCAACCTGGACATGTGCCCTTGATCAGAATCGAACCTGGGACTCTTTAGTCCACAGGCCTATGCTCTATCTACTGAGCCAAACCAGCTAGGGCTGCCCATTGTTTTTTACTCAGATGCCATCTAGTCAGAACCCTTTTTTTTTTTTCACTTCCTTTTATAGTTGAGACCAAATATTCTTGTAAGATATTTGATGTTCTTAAAGAGTTAGTAGCATAAAAGGTTAACTACCTCATTGATGATTATAAGATCCTAGAGAGTGATTAAAGTTAGTTTTTGTCTTCATAGGTAACCTTCCTTGAAGAAGTTACTGAGTATTATATAAGTGGTGATGAGGATCGCAAAGGACCATGGGAAGAATTTGCACGGGATGGATGCAGGTTCCAGAAACGAATTCAAGAAACAGAAGACGCTATTGGATATTGCTTGACATTTGAGCACAGAGAAAGAATGTTTCAGAGACTCCAGGAAGCATGCTTCAAGGGACTTGATGCTTTCTAGCCAAGTTCAGATGACGTAATAGCCTCCAGCCCTAGCATACACTAAGTAACTCTTACTTCAGAGGTTTCTTTCAAGACAAAAATTGGCAGCTGTCCTTGGACCATTTTTTTTTTTTTAGAGGATATGTAACTTGGATCCAGCAACCTTGTTTAATATTGTTTTGCAACATATCCCACTCAGAAATGTCCAGGTTGGAAGCCAAGCCCTGATAATGAAGGATGAGATGTGTGATTTCTGATCTTACCTTGTTTCTTTAGTCAGATGTGTTTTTGGATTGTGTTTGCTTCTTGAGGTGAAAAAGGAACCTCTTAAGGTGTAACTCTGCACTTTCAAAACTTATTTTCTTGGGAAACAATGTAGGGTTCAAAGCCCATTTTATATTTTAATTTAAATTACGTGTACCTGTCTAAAAACTGGGCTCTTTTTACTTTTTTCCTCCAACATTCTTTTTCCCCCCAGTTTATCTTTATTGTTGAAAGTGCTACAATTGTCCTTTTTCCCCCTCACTGACCCCCCCCTTCACCCCACACCCGCCCCAGTTTATTTTATTTTTTCTCCATTGATTTCAGAAAGAGGGAGGGGGTGGGGGAGCGAGAGCGAAACATAGATAAATTGCCTCCCATACTCGCCCCAACCTGGATTAGGGATGTGCCCTGACTGGGAATCGAACCCAACACCTTTTGGGATGACACTCCAACCAACTGAGCCACACCGGCCAGGGCTTTTCCCTCTAACATTCTGAAATTAATGGGCTTTTATGTTTTCTCTGTATTATCTTATTCAGTGACTTGGCCTTTCCACCTTAAGGCTAAGAAAATAATCTTGTGTATGCTACCAATTTAAGGTACATTATTTTGTGTCACTTTTTTTTTCTTCGTAAGAAAATGGGTAGGCTTTCATTTCTAGGTTAATTATTACTAAGATATTTCCAAGGATTGCCACAAAATCAACATGTGTGTACTCTGTTACTTTAGGAAAGCTACATCTTTCTGCCAAATTTTAACATCTAATATATTTAATTTCCGTGCAAAATGTTTTGGAGAGGGTCCTGTATATGTTATTGTAGTTTCTAGGTAAATGGTTCTTTGTATCTTTTAACAGATGGAAATTGTTGTAAAAGAGATCAGAAAGTAATAATTACATCATAGGTATTTATATTTTTTAAAATTAAAAGCTTAGAATTCTCCTAGGAAGAATATAAGAGACATCAGAGCCATGTGGTTTTGTTGTATATGCTCTCAACAGAAAGCAGTGTTATTATGTCAGGCCTCGGCACTGTGTCACTTAAAATCTGTCAGGGTGACACTGTCAACTTGGGAATGGGCAGTTTGGAATTTTCCAGTTTGAAATGTAAAATAGAGACTTCAGTCAGTATCCAAGTTTATTGTGTTCTGTTTTAATAAGGAGAGAAGGAATAATGAGAGAAGCAGGGGCTATACATTCAGGAAAGGAAAGGACTATAGATTTAACAACCAGGAAGGCTTAATAGCTCTAGCCCCAAATTTGCGTTTGAATCCAAGTTTTTGCAGTGACTGGTTGTGCTTGGTTCATTTAGGTAGCTCCACCTGGTGTGCACCTGTTAGGTTGAGGGAGTGCTAACCAACTCCTTAACGGTCAATTGTTACTCCACGTGCCTCTTGTCATGGAAAACGTGAGTAGAATAGATGACCTCTTAATTTTGAACTAGTTTCATTGTAGGGATGATGTTTCATTAGAAGTGCTTGCAGGGTTACTACCTCAGTTAATAATCTACTTGGTCATTTTATTTCTATCTGGTTTGCTCCAAGAACTGCCTCTAGCGTTCATATATATATATATTTTTTTCACATAAACACATGGAGAGTGCAGCAGCATATGGTCAGATTCTTGTCAAGGTGTTTTGTGCTCCCCCGCGTTAGGTAGTCATAGGGAATGTGAAGCACCATGAAAGTAGGTTGGTTCCAGGCACCAGCTGTGTCAGGTGGAAAGAAGGCATTATTTGCCCTGAAAAAAGCTTGTTGAAAATGCATATGCATTCTTTAAAACCGGAGTGAAGTATACTACCTTATGTCAGAGATTTAGGTTGTGTTTTGTGCTTCTGAAGTCTAGCACCTCTGCCGATACGGAAAGCAGGCTATTTTACATTAACTGGATTGCGGGAGATTGTTCTCTTGGAATTCCAACCTCAACCTCACTACCAAATGAGTAACAGCGTGGTTAACAATTCTCCCTTTTACTTCCCTCCTTTAAAAGAAGTGATCAGAGGGTGGTGAGAAGGACAGAAGGGATCATGTTTAAGTTGGATTGAAGGAGAAAAACAATTCTTGTTAGTTTCATTCCAATCCTAGTTGTTGAAACGAAGTTAGACCACCATCTTAAAACAAAAATCCTTGGAAATTCTAATCGAACATTGCATTTAAAGTCTTGCAATGGTGCTTTATGTATCAGTGTAACATGTGAAAGGCTTCGTACAGACAGGTAAAATTTCCCTTTTTGAGTGTAATAACAGCACCTCTTCATCATTAACTTGAAATCAAAACTATCAGATCTTATTTTTTTATAATTTAAGGAAGGTGAATTTCGGGGGCTAGAAGATGTCTGAATTGGCTTCTACTGATCCAATGAGTAAAATGTAACCATTTTGTTGGGATTTTATAGTAAAATTCTATTTGTGTATATAATTTAATCTGTACATTGTAATAAATACATTTGCAATTATTAAATTTTATGTGATATTTTGGTTCAACTTTATATTTTATGTTTCATAGTACTTTACATTGGCTTTGGAATTACTGAAAAGGATTTTCAGGTTTAAATTGGGTATTTTTGTAGAAGCTTAGAGGGGCTGGACAAATTTCTGTGGTTTAAAATGGCTGTGATATGTAAAATGCACCTCAGTTCATTGAAGGACAGGAATGATAATGGGGTAAATATACTAGTAACTGGAAACCACGTTTTAGTAGTAGAAAGAAGAATTTGGTTCTTTGAGTATGAAAGGCCCCACTTAGAGACTGGGGATTAGAATCCAAAATTGGCTCCAACCATCTGCTTCTGTGCAAAGAAAACAGTAAAAAGAAGCAGTAAAATTCATATGCTGGGCTTAGCACAGTGTTTCTCCTAAGTAGCAGGGAAATTTGTTTTTCTATTTTGTGCATTATTGATAACCATGGTTTTGTAAATCATGATACTCTCCCCTGTATGATATTGAATGAGATAGTAACATCAGAAAAACAAAACAAAATGTTCTACCCTGAAAAAAAGATAAACATTTGGGTTACAGCAAGCCCCTTAATGGGTTAAGGCATATGGATCTTAGTTAATGAAGAAAATTATTAAAGGTATGTTTCTGAACTGGAAGGAAAGAAACTAACATTTAGTTGCAGATAATTAGTACTTAGCACCAATTGAATTGCTAGTTCTTTTTATTACCGTCTTGGGGATTTAAGCATTTTTGTCTCTTTCCAGGGAAATATATGAAAATGGCCATATTCACATCAAGCCAGATTTATTGCTATGACTATCCTGATATCCTATAGAAATTGTGCTGTGGGTTTTTCTACTTTAACAGTAGATTTAATTGTTGACCCAAGAAATTTCGATAGTTACACATAGAATTTAGTGGTCTCATTTAGAGACTTCTTTGGGTCCTCTATGTACCTTTTAAAAATAATGGAAATACTTAATTTTTTCTCAAAGAAATTGTATCATTTATGAAAGTACCTAATATAGAGATAATATAAAGGCATTCTTTTTTTTTTTTAATGTTTTTATTGATTTCAGAGAGGAAGGGGGAGGGAGAGAGAGATAGAAACATCAATGATGAGAGAGAATCATTGATCGGCTGCCTCCTGCACGCCTCCTACTGGGGACCGAGCCTGCAACCCGGGCATGTGTCCTTGATTGGAATTGAACCTGGGACCCATCAGTCCACAGGCTGGCGCTCTATCCACTGGGACAAACCAGCTGGGGCTATAAAAGCATTCTTGGTACTGTCTAAAAGTAAGTATGCTGCCCCCAGGGTACCTTTTAAGGTGAGAGACTTAATTTCTTTTTATTTTATAAATATATTTTTATTGATTTCAGAGAGGAAGGGAGAGGAAAAGAGAGAAATATCAATGATGCGAGAGAATCACTGATCGGCTGCCTCCTACATGCCCCCTATGAGGATCGAGCCCGAAACCCAAGCATGTGCTCTTGATCGGGGTGGAACCTGGGACCCTCCAGTCCACAGGCTGATGCTCTATTTACTGAGCCCAACTGGCTAATCCCTTAATTTCTTTTTATGTGTGTAAAGAGGTAATATATATTGATTTCAGAGAGGGAGCGAGAGATAGAAACATCAATGATTCATTGATCAACTGCCTTCTGCACGCCCCCTACTGGGGATCAAGCCTGCAACCTGGGCATATGCCCTGACCAGGAATCAAACCTTGACCTCTTAGTTCATAGGTTGACACCCAACCACTGAGCCATGCAGGCCAAGCTGATATTTCTTCACTTAACTGATTAAGACACAAATGTCAGCTGTTTGGAATTCTTCTACATCCGAAATTAGGATTCTTTACTTATGGACTTGGTTGAATGCTCTGTAATCAATACAAAACAGCTTTTTTCTCCTTGGATTTGCTCCAGCGAAACTACGTGTGTGGGGGTCAGTTATGACTTCAAAATACAGAGGCAGCATGATATCAAAATCTATAACAATAGGTGTAATAAATAGGATAAATAGATCTCTTAATCCTGCTTACTTTGAGGATTTATCAAGCAAGCTTTCAGTTAATACGTTTTAGTGACAGGTTAAACAGGGAATTTAAAGAGAAATCATATGTGGAGAGAACACAGGGTGGGGTATGTATTACTATGTAACTTACATCAGTGTTTTACCGTTGGCAGACTTCCTTGCCTCAGCAGGGAAGGAGGGGAAGCAGTTTATGGAAAGTGGGTGGCTGAACCCGTTGGGAGGGGACCCTAGAGATACAATGAGAACAGAAGGTCTAGAAAGCTGAACTATAAGGGAAGAAGTTTTGGAACTGCTCTCCAGGTTTTGTTCTTTTATTCTTCCCTTGAAATCAGTACTATCCTTTTAAAACATACATATATTTGTTTTATTGATTTCAGAGAGGAAAGAAGAGAGGGAAATATCAATGAGAGAGAATCATTGATCAGCTGCCTCCTTCAAGCTGGGGATTGAGCCCACAACCTGGGCATGTGCCCAGATCAGGAATGGAACCATGATCTCTGGGTTCGTAGGTCAACCCTCAACCACTGAGCCATGCCAGCTGGGCTGTACTGTCCTTTTCTTAGTTTCCTCCTGCCTTTGCTGATTTTTTTTGTCACTACTGTTGTATAGAGACTCACCTAGGAGAGGATGAGGACCTTCATAAGAGAAGCACAGCACAATTGCCACGGTGTGTGTTCATTAGAGAGACTCTCCATCAAGAAGAAAGGACCTTGGAGCTCTCTTCAGAGCTTAATTGCACACTCCCCGACCAGAGCGTCAGGTTAATATATACACTGAGGCTGGAGCAACTTTCAGAATATTCCAGAGATGTTCAGGGTCAAAGTAAGGATTATGCTGCTTTGAGTTAAGCCTGCTTTTTTTTTTCTTTCTTTTAAATCCTCACCTGAGGACATGCTTCTTGATTTTAAAGAGAAAAGAGAGAGAGAGAGAGAGAGAGAGAGAGAGAGAGAGAGAGAGAGAGATTGCCTTCCCATACATGCCCTCATTAGGGATCGAATCCACAACCTATGTATGTGCCTTGACTGGAATCAAACTCAATCTTTCAGTGTATGGCGGCAACACCTCCAGGGCAAGCCTGCTTTTTTTTGTTTTTTTAAATATATTTTTATTGATTTTTTTACAGAGAGGAAGGGAGAGGTATAGAGAGTTAGAAACATCAATGAGAGAGAAACATTGATCAGCTGCCTCCTGCACACCCCCTACTGGGGATGTGCCCACAACCAAGGTACATGCCCTTGACCTGAATCGAACCTGGGACCCTTTAGTCCACAGTCCGACGCTCTGTCCACTGAGCCAAACCAGTTAGGGCAAGCCTGCTTTTTTAATAAAGTTCATACATTGGCTCTGAAAGCAAAAACCAGAGAGGGGTCCCAAAAAAGTTGAAAAAGTCTCATCTAGATTTATGTTCTGGAATGGTTGTTTTTAAAAGAAATTTCATCATGAGAAGACTAATTCCTCTTTGGATCTCAGATATCTCCTCCAAGAGACATCTCACCACCCCAACCCCCAACCCCTCTTTTCCCTTTTATTTTACCTTTTAAAATTATGGTCACTCTGCCCTCATTTTATTAACATTTTTACTTGTTTCTTGTCTGCCGCTACCCTCAATAGTCTGTAAACTCCCTGAGAGCAGGGACCTTGTATGTCTTATCTGCTCTGAGCCCAGAACCTGCTTGGCACATCATAGTCAATAGATACTTGTAGAATGAGTCACCAACTTTTTAAGCCACCTTTCATCTAGCCTTTACCGAGGTTTCACCAACACAATTATGTCTGATTAAAAACAACTGTTCCACAATCAAAGATGATGTAGAATCACCGATCTGAAAGGTCCTTAGAGAGAAGCAGTAATAAGCTCTAACTTCGTAGCATGTAATTACAAATTTCATTTTGGCTAGGGATACCACATCAATTAATTTGAATGTCATTAATAAGGTGCATGTTAATTTATGGATTTAATATGTGATCAAATCAGCTGAGACACTTCTTTTCTGGAATTAATATTCTGTATTGGAGTACAAGAGTATTCTTCCCACTGCCCCAGAGGGAAGATGGGCGTTAGGTTGCTAGAGATGCTCTGTTGATTCCATTAGATGGTGTTACCATCTTGGAATGGCTGATGGATCCCCGTCATCACTAACCTAATGGCGGTTGCTAGGTTGGAAGTCATCTCTCGGTATAAACAAGCTGGAAAACTTCCCAGCTTGTGGTAGCCAACAGAACTGGGGGCTGTTCCTTATGGGAGAACCAAGATTTGTATTTGTATTTGAACTCAAACAAATGAATAAAATGAACATAGTGATGATTTAGGAGACTGGAGGTCTGAGGTAGGGATATTTGCTGGGTTTTGTGTATTGAATTTTCCCAGTTGGGGCTTTGTTTTTACGGAATGTTCAGCATCCAGCTTTCTATGGCATCCCTGGGCATCAAGGGTAGTTCTCAATGAGAGGGGAGACGGTGCCGCATTGCTCAGGGCACGGAGCGTCACTGTTACCTGGTGACAGTGTGGCTGGCCTGCAGGAGGAAAAGCGCCTGGAGAACTGCTGGCCTGGGGTTCATGCTGGGGTGGCCTGTTGCCCTCTTAGAGCTAGCAGCCAAGGACAGGTGGATACCAGGGCTGCTCTTCGCTAGGTTGGTATTGGCTCCAAGGGCTGCCCTGGGTCCGTTTCAGAACGGAAGGTCACTGTGCATTTGCATACAATTTTCCTGTGCCTGCAGTGACAGGCACCTTTCAACTGCATTATTGTGTACTTTCCTTTTTAAAAAAATATATTTTATTGATTTTTTACAGAGAGGAAGGGAGAGGGATAGAGAGTTAGAAACATCGATGAGAGAGAAACATCGATCAGCTGCCTCCCCCATACTCCCTACTGGGTATGTGCCCGCAACCAAGGTACATGCCCTTGACCAGAATTGAACCTGGGACCCTTGAGTCCACAGGCCGATGCTCTATCCACTGAGCCAAACCGGTTAGGGCCCTTTCTTTTTTTTAAA